CTTCCTGAGTTTAAATCTGCCTCAGACACTTACTAGCTATGTGACCCTGGGCAAGTCATTTCACCTTGTTAGCCTCAGTTTCTCCTCTGTAAAATGAGCTGGAGAAGTGCCAAACCATTCTAGTATGCTTGCCAAGAAAACCTCAAGGGGCAGCTAGGTGGCGCAATGGATAGAGCACTGGCCCTGAAGTCAGGAGGACCTGCGTTCAAATCCGGCCGCAGACCAAACACTTGACACTTACGAGCTTTGTGACCCTGGGTAAGTCACTTAACCCCAACTGCCTAACCAAAAAAAGAAAACCTCAAAATGGGGTCATGAAGACTCTGACAGCACTGAATAACAACAACAAAATGGTATTATTGGGTCAAAGGGTATGCATAGTTTTATAGCCCTCTGGGCATAGTTCTAAACTGTTCTCCAGAATGGTTGGGCTAGTTCACAGCTTCACCAATAATGCACCAGTGTCCCTATTTTCCCACATTCCCTCCAGCATTTGTTGTTTCAATTTTTTGTCAACTTAGTCAATCTGATGCATCCGAGTTGATACCTCAGAGTTTTTTTTTTTAATTTGCATCTTTGTAATTAGTGATAGAGCTGTAAGAAATGATAAAAGGAATAGTTTCAGAAAATCCTGGGAAGTCCTATATGAACTGATACAAAGTGAGGTGAGCTGAACATCGTACACAATAACAGCAGTAGTGTAAAGATAATCAACTGTGAAAGACTGGGTAACTTTGATCAACACAATGACCCACCGTAACCCCAAAGGACTCATGATGTAAAACTAACCACCTCCAGATATAGAACTGATAGTGTCAGAGTACAGATTGAAGCATATTTTTATTTCCTTTCTTTATTTTGCTTTTTTTGGTAACATAGCTAATGCAGAAATATGTTTTGCATGACTTCATATGTATAATGGGTATCCTATATCTTGCCTTCTCAATTGGTGGGGAAGAGAGTGGAGAATTTAGAACTGAAAATGAAAAAAAAAATTAAAAAGAAAACAAGAAAGAGATGTGGTCAGCCTTACTCTTTTGGACCCTATTTATCAGTGCAAGTGGGAGTTGGAATAAGGATCCCTAGAAATTATGTGAGCTATGGCAGGATCCTAGGCCTAGATGGGGTTTCAGAGGCCAACTAGTCTAACCTACACATTTTACAGATGAAGAAACTAAGGCCCGGGGAGGGCAAGTGACTTGCCCAAGGCCACAAGTGTTTCCAAGCCAGTTCACCTGACTATGGAACCAGAGCTCTTTCCACTATACTAAAGGGGTTGGGATACTAGCCCTTTATTTGTTTGTTACTGTCCTGAATAAATATTCTCTGTTTAAATGCTAGTGGGAAGCCTCCAGCTCTTTGTATAAGTCCTGTCCAATGTTTCATGCTCGTTCTCTTCCCCTCCCCTCCTCTCCCGGAGAGCAAAAATGAGGCAGATGCTGAGGTTCCCAGAGGATAACTCTGGGTGAGGATACAAACTATATAGGGTATGTCTACGGAGAGGCCTCCAAGATCTGAACTCCTGTCCATAAAAGGCCCCATCACAAGCTATTACTCTTCTTTGTTGGGCTCGCCCGACTTCCTGAGCTCCCAAAGGACAAGGGCCACAGTTTCTTTCTTTGGAATCCCCCTAAAGTGCCCAGCGTAGTGCTCTGCACTGCACAGTGAAGGTGCCACAGTTGAGGAACTAGAAGCTTGCTCATTTTAATTATTCCTGGACAAAGGAAAGGGACCCGTTTCTCATGAAGGTGCTCTCTAAATTGAGGCATGGATCAAGCATGCAAGGAGAATGGGCTTAACAGATGCGGCTCTTAGAATTAAACCAGGGAACCTGGAAGAGAGAACACAATAGGGCATAGAACATGGAACTTGGAACTACACAGAGCACGGAACTTGGAACTTGGAACCTCAAACATAGGATATAACACTTGGACCCTAGAATGAGGGCAAAAAACCTGGAACTTGGAACCTGACAACACACAGGGCATAGAACCTATAATTTGGGATCTAGATATACACTGAATGGGACTTGGAACCTGGAACTGCATAGGGCACAAAATATGGAAACTAGAGCTTGGAACCATATAGGGTATGGAGCTTGGGATGCACAACTTGGAACCTGGGATTTTATTGAATAGGGAGCTTAGACCTTTGCAGGCTATGGAAATTCCCAATTATCCTCTGCTCACAGGAGACACCCTGAGTTGTTTGCTTTTAAAGAATCAGTAATGATTTCAATTCAGGCCCATGTGTGAGAAGAATTCTTTCCAGTTTGGGGAAGGGGGAAAGGATGGCTTGACAGGGCTAGAGTGAGGAGCCCCATCTCTGTGCTATTGTTAGAATAAGCTGAGTGTAACATGGATATAATATCCCTTCTGGCCCATCTTCCTGGTCCCAGGGGGAGGGGAAGGAGGGGCCGAAGTGCATAACATTAAGGAATGCCAAGGTGGGTGAGTACACTCAGGAGATATCTCCTTGTCACCCTTTTCAGCTCCCACTCCTTTCTGGGTGGTCTTTAGTTTATTCGACCCTTATCTTGCCGTGCCCCTGGTGCCGGCTGAATTCATGGATAATAGAAAGGGTATGGGAAGGAATTCTTGTTCATGAAGTCAGGGGCCCACAGACAGCAGGGGTAATAATCAGCTAATCCACTCCTTGTCACTTAGACCCCTGTCAAAGTACCCAAAGAGGAGAGGCTCAGACCAGCCCCCATTAGAACCTTTGAAAGCAGGCCCCCACCTTCCCCTCCTAGCTATAGCAGGGACACCCCCAAACACACCAGCCCTACTGCTTGTGTCCTGTTTCTAACTAGGCAGGGGAGAGTCACAATTGTTCACACTCCCAGCAAGTTCTAAGGTTTACAGATGAGAACTCAAGATACCAAGAGGTGAGATGACCACCCAAGGGCACACAGTCATGAGGCAGCAGAGCAAGGCCTTGAATGCCCCACACTCAGGCTCTTTCCCTCTCTGGGCCCCCCAGTTCTTCCAGATCAAGGGGTTCAATTAGATGATCTCTCAAAACCTTTCTCATACTTACAGCGACCTATAGCATAGGTCAGGATAAGGCCTGAACTTGTGATCTCATTGGGGAATAAGGGAAGGGGAACGGAAGAAGCATTTATTAAGCACCTACTATGTGTTAGACACTGTGGCTAATCATTTTACAAAGATTATCTCCTTGGATCCTCAAAACAATCCTTTGAGGTAGGTGTTATTAATCCCCATTTTGTGACTGAGGAAACTGAGGCAAGTAGAGGTAAGTGACTTGCCCGTGGTCACACAGCTTGTAAGTATCTAAGGCCAGCTTTGAACTGAGGTTTTCCTGACTCCAGGCCCACTGCAAGCGGTTTCTGGGTCTCCTGGAGGAAGAAATTCCCTCTACCAACAAAGGTTGGCACCTTCTCTAGAACTTAGAGAGTTACTTGTCTTTATGTTTCTGTATTTTTACCCCATGTTGTTATTTCTAGTGCCGAGGTTGTTTTCTTCTGGGGGGAAAAGGGAAGAGAAGATGTATTTAAGCACCTACTATGTGCCAGGCACTGTGCTAAGTGCTTTGCAAATATTATTTCATTTGATCCTCACAACAACTCTGGGAGGTAGGTGCTATTATTATCCCCATCTTACAGTCAAGGAAACTGAGGTTTAAGATTAAGTGACTTGCCCAGGGTTACAGAGCTAGTAAGTGTCTATATTTGAGCTCAGGTCTTCCTGACTCCAGGCCTAGTGCTTTCTCCACTGCACCACCTAGCTGCCTCTGGTACCCAGCATCCAATTAGGCCAGTGTTCCCAGAGGGAAATAGATTTTGTTTTATAAAGATATTGGGAGTCAAGGAGCTGGGGTCAAATCCAGCCCCAACAACTTTCCTAGCTAGATGACCTTGAATAAGTCCTTCTCTCATACTGAGATTTATCAGCCAAGTCCCAGAGACCATTGGTATGGGCTTCTCTCTTAATTGGTGGAGATCAATCTCCTACACCTGCAGGAGGGTTGGGAGAAGAGTCAGCAGGAGTGGGAGAGAAGAGAGGGTCAGTCTCTGCAGATACTTATGGCTTCCAGCTTTGAGAGAGAATATGGACAATGCCAACTTTCCTTCAGGTTGTTGTTAAAGGGAGAATGAGACTCTGGGAAGAAGCCAACATGAGAAGAGCTGGTGGTTTCCCTTATATCTGGCGCATAATTCTAGCCCTGAGGAGATAAGGGTGGCCAAGCATCTGGCCACAATCTCTTGCTTCCCCTCAAGCCACACAAGAGACTCTCCCATGCTACATGTGAGGGAACGGGCCTCACTACATGGAAAGTAGGGAACCTGGATTTGATGCTGTCCAAGTCTGAATCCTACCAGTTGGAAGAGACATCAGAAGCCATCTGATCCTCCTACTCCATTTTTCAGAGAAGGAAACTGAGGCCCAAAGAGAGAAAGTGACTTGCTCACAATGGCGCAGGTAGTACCAAATTTTTTCTTTTCTTTTTGAGATGGAGTTTTCCTATCTGGCCCAGAGGTCACTCACAGGCCAATCCCACTGCCAATTTGCACAGGAGTTTTGACCTGCTCCATTTTTCTGACCTGGACCAGTTTGGCCCCTCATTACACAGCCTGGTGGTCCCTCGCTCTCAGCAGCTAGACATTCGAGTGGGGATGCCCAATGGGCTCTAGCCACATTGGAGCTCAGAAGTTGGAATTCCGCCAGTCTCAGCCTCCCCCTGCCCCTCCAGGCTTAGAGGTGGGGGCCATCACACCTGATTCTAATTTTTAAAAAATGTGTTTTATTGATTTCTTTTTCTACACTACTGCCACAGGCCACCCCCAACCCCCCCCCCATCCTTAAAATGAGATCTAGCTAAGCAGAACAAGCCAGTACATTGGCCTGTCTGAGGGGGCATGCCTCACTCCGTGCTATACACAATCTGATTCAAAACCTGTGGGAAAAGACTGGGGGAGGGCTTGGGATATCAGCTTTACATCCTCAAAGGAGAAGGGAACACACCATCACTCAAACTCCAAAAATAAGGGTTTATTGCCCTTTTAAAACTCTTTATTATAAAGATATATTTACACAGGACAATATTACAAACACAGGAATTGGCATGACCATTGCCAGGAGGGGATGGTGCCTCAAGGAAGAAGGGTTTCATGTTGGCATAAATTAGAACCACCGACTGAACTGTTACCATGTGAAATGGGATTAGCCAGGACCCAGCTGTCCCCCTTCGTCTCCTCTTCCTCTTCCTCCTCCTGCTGTCTCTGGCCCTTCTACCCTCCCAGCCAGGGATTTGTGCCTGGACCACCAGCCCTGGGAGTGTGGGCAATCCTGGTTTGACCTCAGGTGAACACAAGGCCTCAGCTACTAAGGCAGGAGACTGGGGGGGGGGTGGCAAGGCCCAGCCAAATGGGAGAAAGGGAGGGCCCAAGTCAGGTTCTCAGGCCTGGGCCTGGGCCACAAAAGTACATTGTGGAAAGAGCTGTAATACAGTGGGAAAAGCGCTGAATCGGGAGTCACAAGACCTGGGTTCAAATCCCGGCTCTGCCACTGCTGCTCATGTGACCTTGGGTGAGTCATTACATCTCTACAGACCTTGCCCCCCCACCTCTCCATAAGCTAAGGGATTGGACTAGATGAGCTCGCTATCTGATGATGGCCCCTGGTCCACTGCTCTAGCTGCTGCAGAGGAGAGAAACTAGCCCAGATGAATCCAAGTCACCCACAGCAAAGGGACATTTGGGGAGGAACCATTGTGCATCACTGGGGGGTGCAAGGGGAGTGGTACAGCTCCCTTCCAGAAAGTGGGCAGTTCATAGCTAGTGCTCCTCTCCACCCCAGATCTGGCTCCCCTACCCCCTTCTTGGCCTCAGTTTCCCCATGTAGGAAAAGAGGAGGTGGACTAGAGATCTTTAAGCAACTTTCTAACTCTGATATTCTAGGATTCTTGGCACCATGGTAGGGGACAGGCACCTATCTCTCCAGTGGAATCCCATTTTATGGGCTACCCCAGCCTAAGGCTGGGAGTGGGGATGGGAGTCAGCAGTCAGAATTTCATTTGAGAATGGAGGATTGAATGAACAGGCATGGAGGACTGGAGTGAGGAGCATTACACCCTACCTCTGGGTCCCTACCCACTTTGTGTAATAGGAAGGATGCAAAAAGCATCCTGGGAGAAGCAGAGACAGGACCTTTGAACAAGGGCAATGCACCCCCATTCCCCAGAAAGGCCGAGGAGTTCTAACCCTGTCATATTCACAGAATCTCAGAGCCAGAAGGGACTTTGGGGCCATCCAGTCAACCCAACAGGAATTACCTCTACAACATACCCAGCAAGCAATTGGTCAATCTCTACTGGAATACTCACAGTGACAGGGAACTCACTACCTCTCCAGGCAGCCCATTCCACTTTAGGCCAGCTCTAATGACTACGTAATTTTTCCCTTGCATGGAACCCAAATCTGCCTCCATGCAACCTTCACCTATTGCTTTATTTTGACCCCTCTGGGGCCAAGTGGAACAAGCCAGATCCCTCTCCTTTTACTTTTGGAAGTTTAATTAAGAATAAATAGAATCCTCCCCTCCATATAAGCCATTGTTTCACAAAAATAGCTCTCTTCTTGACTGCATATGTGTGTGAACGTGTGGACTTTTATATATACTTTATATATCTTCTTAAATCTCTAGAAGGTAGAAGGAAGAAACACACACCATAGAGACAGGGAAATGGAAACATCTTAAGACTTCAGAGGGGACTCCCCTCCCCCAACATCTAAGAAAGTGCTTCAAAGGACCCCTTCTCCCTGGGGGGGGGAGTGGCAAAAATTTAAGTTGTCCCCAGCACTGGAAGGTGGGAAAGACACAACAGCTGTCTTCCCCTTCCCCAACAAAGGATCCCAGTTGGCTTCACCAGAAACCAGCCCCCCAAATTCCAAGGCACAATATCAAAATGACTCCCCTTTCCACCAGCTTCCCAGGGTCCCCCAGTTTCTCTTAGCCATCTTGATCTCCATCCCCCCAAATGCCCCACTCAGGTTCTGCTGGCTCCTCTCTCCCCTTACATCTCCCCATTTAGGCACTCCTGAGGGCAGGGCTCCTTGAAGAGAAAGCAACTGCATCCTGGTACCCTAAGGGGAAGGGGGGGAAGCCCCAGCTTGGACACCAGAATTCCCATGGATCACTGGGTGAAGAGGGGCCAGTGTAACATCTGGAAGGTGGACTTGGAGGGAGGCAGAGAAGGGAACAAAAGCCTTCCCCGACTCCTCTCAGTGTCGGGGGCCCCAGATGTAACAAGGGGTGGGGGCAGGAAAGAAGGAGGGAAGTGGATTAAGTGAGTCCAGGAGAAAGAAAGGGGTCCAGGACAACTCCATCCAGGCAGCAGTATGGGGAAACTGTTGTGTGGGAAGGGCCTGGCCCCTCTGCAGGTAGGAAAAGCCGTCCATCTGCTGGGAGCAGAACAGGGAGTGAAGACATGGACACTTGGAGGCCTTAATAGCCCTGGGGGACAAACACAAAAGAGAGAAAAGTCACAAGGATGACCCTGTTCAAGGTCCTCTAGGGCTGGACACAAACACACACACACACACACACACACACACACACACACACACACACTCACTCACTCTTGAATGGACCCTGAACTCCAAACCAAGCCTAAAGCATCATGGGAAAAGGGAACAAATCCTAAACAGAGCCACATCTCTTGGGGAGAAGTAAGAAGGAATACAGATCCCTGCCCTCAGGAAGTCGATATCTTGGCCTTCCTGTGCTGGTTCCTTCCCCTCTATTCCCTTTACTATTCCTCTTTGCATCTGCCCTATTCCCTCCTGTCCTCACTGACCCTGGCTGAGAATCTTCTCACCCCTCCCAGTGATGCCTATCTACACCCCCTCTCCAGGACTGAGAAAAACCCTCAGCCTCCAAAGCCATGCTGGGTCTCTGTCTGTCTGAACCAACCCCTCCTAGCTACAGGGGATGCAGTAGAGAAAACCATGGGACCCGATTAGCTAATTAGCTGTATGACCTTGGGCAAGTCCCTTTCCCTTTGATTCTTTATTCCCTCACCTAGAACAGGAAGGGGTCAGACCAGATAGGCCTTTTTTGCCTTTGACAGTCTATGGCTTATGACTTGATGACTACCTGGGTGGCGCTGGGAAAATGACTGCCCTTCTCCAGGCTCCAGGTTCCTCTATACTGGAGTACAGAGAGATCAGTTTGGGAATAAATGTTTTCTGGGGGAACCTAGTGGCTGGAAATGTAACTGAGTATATGTGTGAGTTCTCTTCATTCCCTCCAAACTCTTTTCAGAAGCCCTAGTTCTTGAATCCCAGCTCTCCAACTTCCTAGCTGTGTGACCACAGATGAGTCACTTCTCTTTCTGAGTACTGGTATTGGTTTTTTCATCTGTAAAATGGGGTAATAAGACTTGGGCTGCCTTCCTTTCGTGGTTGTTGTGAGGAAAGCCCCTGGTCACCTTAAAAGCGTTAGAGACATGGAGAATGTTGTATATTACTGTACTGAGCTCTTCTTTTTTTTTTTAATTTTTAGGCAGTTGGGGTCCATTCTCTTCATTTTATAGAAAATGGGGCTCCTGGCAGGTGGAGAGCCTCCCCTCAGATCATAGTGCCTGTATCTGTATCCATCTCATTTAGCTTGATTCCCTAACAGGGAATGGAGATTCCCCATGGGAAGGGATCACCGCTTTGGCCTTCCCATGGCATAGAGCAGGTGTGGGTGAAGGGATGACTGCCCCATGTGTCCTGGAGGCAATGGGGGGCCCCATTAACTCTCCACCTAACACCAGCCCTCACCCCAGCCCTAATTTGGCCCATTTAGCTACCTGCTTCAGAAAGGCATGGGGCCTTTGTGGGAAAGGCGGGGCCGCTGCCTTCGGAACTTCCTCCTACCGCCCTGCCAGGGTCCCCCAGTTCTTGCCACTTTGGGCTGCACCAGGGTCCGAATGTTCCCTTCCTCCAGCTCCTTCCTGTCCAACGCCTCCACCAGGGGCCCTGAGAGGAGGAAAAAGAGGGTTAGTAGATTGCAGACCTCAGAGCTGGGAAGGCTTTTAGAAATCATTTTGTCGAACTCACTCATTTTCCAGATGAGGCAGCTGAGGCCCAGAAAGGCGACATGATTTCCCCAAGATTACCCACAGGATCTGGAGCTGGCAGGGACCATTTAGTCCAGCCCCTTTATTTTACTGAGGCCAAGGGAGGAGGAGGGATTTGTCCAAGTTCACACAAGTTGTAAGCACCAGAGGCAGTATTTGGACCCAGGTCCAGAGCCAGTACTCTTCCCACTGTACCACACCGCCTCCCACAGGACGTGTGTCTGGGAAGTAGTAGGGATGCTCACTCCCCCTGTTCAGAATGCTGTTCCCTATTGCCTTTGGGATAAAATTCCAACTTCTCTGTTTGGCTTTCAAGTCCTTCCCAATCTGGCCCCAGTGCTTTCCAGGCTGATTTCCCATCATGCCCCCTCCTTACCTAGACCTCTTAGTGCCTCTAGCTCCCACCAAGGCTCATTTCAAGGGTCCTCTCTGATTTACCTGCCCTCCCCTCCCCACCATTACTGCTCTCCTTTCCCAGAATTCCTTTGGATTTACTTTGAACAAAGTTCTCATCCCCTTAGCTGTGTCCATTTTCCCCTGACCCCAAGTAGAATGTAAGCTCTCTGAGGATAGGAACAATTTTCAGTTTTGTTTTTATATCCCCCCCGTCAAATCTCACACAGTGCCAGGTACACAGTGCCAGCTTAATAAACGCTTCTTGCTACTGAGACTATGAGTGAGGCTCGGGCTAAGTCAGAGGCCAAGGTTAAGGTCAGTGTGGGGTCAAAGCTCCAGCAGGGCTTGATCCTGAAATGTTGGCCTTCAAAGGATCGGCCCCTCCATCTGGGCCCACCTGGGACTGGAATCCCTTCCCCTTCTCTCCTACCTGAAGCCCCTCCCAGCTGCGACCCCTGCCCAGGCAGCTACAGGATCACTGCCCATCTAGGCCTAAAAGCCAGGGACATCATCTTTCTTCCTTAAGGAAGCCTCAACCAGCATCCCTCTTCTCCCTGTCAGCCTCTCTGCCTCCCTCCTTCCCCGCCTGACCCCCATTGCTCCCAGTCAACCATCAGAAGCAGAGTTTCCTCTTGAGGGAGGAAGGGTTGTGCCTCTTATTAGATTGAATTGACAGGCTGGGGGCTGCCCCTCACCCCCGGACTTACCTCACTCCTCTTCCTTCCTTCTGAGGTCAACCCTCATGGGGAAGGAACATGAAAGGAAATGCCAGAGGGACCCCCAACCTCCTTCAGTCCCCTCTAATCCTCACAATTCAATGCCACTTCCTCTTGACAGCCCTACCCTGCTCCAGGCCTGGGACCCCCCACTCACTCCTCCCTAGCTCTCAGTCTCCGAGCAGAAAGAGCTCTGAAGATGAAGTCAAAGGGCCTGGGTGCAAATCCTGGACTTCTCTTTACTTTGTGACCTTGGACAAGTCATCAATAAAATAAAGGGGTTAGATGAGACCGCTCAAAAACCATGATTCTAAAATCCATATCCTGAGAGTAAGAGGGGCTGTGACTCCAGTCTCCTCTCTTCCCTCTTGACCCCCAAGCAGGTCCCAGGAGAGCTTCCTTCCCTCCTCCCCTCCCTCCCTCCCTCCCTCCTCCCCATCCTCTGCCCTATTTAAACAGCAGCCAAAAGGAGATGAGATCACTCCAGCTGAATCCAAAGGGAGACCTCTGTGCTAGGGGCTCAGGCCTTTATCTCCACCTCCCAGATTTGGTTTGATTTGAAAGATCATCGATTTAGAGCTTAAGGGAACGTAGTGTGCAAGGGGGCTCATCACAAAACCTCACTTTACAAGATGAGGAAACCAAGGCCCCAAAAGGCTAAGAGATTTGCCCAGTGTAGTAAGTAGCAGAGCCAGGACTGGAACCCAGAATCTCTAACTCCAAATCCAACTCTTTTCCCTGTTAAGGTGGTGTCTTTTGGTGCCTCAGTTTCCCCACCCATAGTAGTGGTCCTAGTGGGGAAACTGAGGCACCAAATGACACCACCTGAAGAGTTATAGTAAAGACCTTAGAAAATACTGAAAGTATTATGTTACTGGGCAAGGAGAGTGCACTAGAAGGAGCCCTGGGATTGGCATCAAGCTGGCTTTGAGCCCAGTTCTTGTGCTTACTAGCTGTGTAACCATGGACAGGCCACTCAACTTCTCTGGCTTCAGTTGCCTCTTCCACAAAATGGTCTGTTGTAAGGAAGGTACTTTAGAAACTCTGGGAAAATTCAAGTTGATGTTAATACCACTAAGTACATGGTAAGATTAGAAACAAAGACTGGTATACAAGGGCTGGACAGGATCTTGGAGTGAGTCTAGCTTTCTTGTTTTAGGAAGTAAAAGGCAGAGCTGGGATTTGAACCCAGGTCTTTAACTCCTAGTCTAGTGTCTTCCGTTAGACCACACTGCATTAGGTTTTTTTTCCCCAGAAAAGCACCCTCCTCTCTGTGACCCTCACCCTTTACTTTCCTGTTTCTGAACAAAACAGAGAAATCCCTCTCCCGCTCTGAACCTCAGTTTTCTCTTTCGTGGGGGGCTGAGTGGGGAGGGTATTGTACTAATGATCTCATTGTCATGATTCCTTCTAACTCTAGCAGTTTATGATCCTAAGCCACTGTCCCTTCCCTATCACCCCCACCCTTCACCCCACCCTATCCCACAGTACTCAAGGGCCAGCCCAGGAAGAAGTATCATTGAATGGTTAGTGACAGGGACTTGAAAGGTCTCTAATCTGTTATTGCTACCCTCCAGCCTAGAACCATGGCCATCAGTCCGCTTCCTGACAATATCAGCCCCCTCCCATCCCAGTTACTGTAGCCCCTCTTCCATTGACCATGGCTCATAGGATCCTAGCTCTGAAGCTGGCAGGGCCCTCAGAGGCCATCTTGTCCAACCTCTTCATTTGACAGAGGAGGGAACTGAGGCCGAGGGAGGGGACATGCTTTGCCCAAAGTCCGACAAGTAAGAGGAAGGATTTGAACCCAGGCCCTGTGACTTCAGAGCCACCATTCTTTCCATACTGCCTTGCGTCTGTCCACTTCTGTTTTCCAAAGGAAGCTTTTAATTAGCCCATCACTGAATATTTGTTGGGGGCATCCTGTACCACAGACAGGTCAATTGCCATCAGTGCCCAGTCCCTGCCATCCAGGTTTACACACAGAATCAGGTGTAGGTCAAACCCTTTGTGCCTTAGTGGGTGAGGAGGCTGAGCAAGGTGGGAAAATGCATGGAAACTGTGCAAGCAGAGGGTGAATAGGCAAGGGGAGAGGACAATTGGGGAAGGATCAGCTCAGGCTGGGTCTCAATCATCAAAGACGGCCTCAGAGACTAGCTAGTACAAATCTCTTCATTTCTGACAAATGGGGAAACTGAGACCCAGGGATGGGTAAATGACCATACTACCTGGGCAGACTCTGGACTCAAACCTAGGACTCCAATCCAGCAGTTCGGAGTGGAAAGAATACTAGAGTCAAGAGATTCAGGCTTAAGTTCTAGCACTGAGCTTCCTAGACGTTATGACCTTAGCCAAGTCACCTCATAGGGTTGCTGTGAGGATCAAATGAGTTAATGTTAGAGAAGCTTCAGAGAAATCATTTTATTATTATATAGGGCCATGGGTCCTCTTTCCCCCACAGCTACTCTCCCTGGTGCTCCATTTCCCCATCCTTCCCAGAATCCTCTACAATTAGATCACTATTTCCAAACAGCCTCCCACCACTGCCCCTCCCCAGCTTTCTAATCATATCTCCTCCTCTTCCAAGGCTTGCCTCTCCCCTCCTGCCCCCCGACACACACATCCCTTCTTTGGCTCCATCCTGATCATGCCTCACCCTCTCCTTACACACAGTTTCCATGCGTTTATTGGCATCAGTCAGAGCTGGCCACGACCCAGGGGAAGATAGGCCCTTCTACCTCCTCTCCCCTAACCAGGTCCCCGAGGCTTTCTTGCTGAACCCCAGCTCTGTGCTACTTGACATTTTTTATCAATGACATGGATGAAGGCAGAGATGGCAGGCCTATCAAATCTGCAGATCCAAAAGATGGGAGGGAGAAGTAATGCACATAGCTGTGACAGGGGTGCAAGATGCAAAAACCCATCCAGACAGCCTAGAACAGTGGGTCAAATCTGATAAGGAAAAAATTAGTGGGCATGAATGTAAAGTCCTGCACTTAGGTTCAAAAAATCAACCTCCCAACTATAGGATAATGACTGGGCCATGTTTCTCATGACAACGATCTGGGGAACTTGGTAGATTGCAAGATCTGAGTCCAGATGATGACATGGTGGTCCAACAAAGTAATGCCATTTAGGGGCGTTAAAAGAGGCATGACATCGAGGCCTAGGAAGATGGTAGACCTACTGTTCTCTTCAGATGGTCAGAATCATCTGGAGCATTGTGCTCAGTTCTAGGCACTAAATTTCAGAAATATACTAGAGTGGTTTGCCATTTCCCCTATCCAGATCATTTTAGAGATGAGGAAACTGAGGCAAATGCGGTCAAGTAACTTGCCAAGGGTCACACAGCTAGTAAGTGTCTGAGGCTAGATTTGAACTCAGGTTTTTCTGCATCCAGGCCCAACTCTCTATCCACTGTGCTACCTGCTATCTACAGGATAAATTAGAGAAAACCCATAGAGACTACCAAATGAGACAGTATAGAGGGAGAAGAGGGCCCAGAACAGAGCCTTGGGAGACACCCACGGTTAGTGGACAAAGATCCAGCAAAGAAGGAATCTGGAAGAAGGAAAGCCAGGAGGGAGCAGTGTCCCAGAGGCCTACAGAGAAGAGGTTGATCTACAATGGGTCGAAAGAAGAGGAATGTGTGGCCTAATGAAGCCTTGGGAGGAAAATGAGAGCTATCTTCAAGTATCTGAGAGGTTGGCCCATGGGAGAGGGGTCAGACCTGCTCTGCCTGGCCCCAGGGGACAAAGCCATATCCAGTGGTTGTAAGTGGAAGAGG